AAGATAACGAAATTATGTTTATAAACTAAGACTCACTATACATAACCGTTACATTTGCTACAGCATGATGATAAAAGTTTCAACATAGTGTTAAAGATAATCAAGAAAAAAATCTAATCAAGTAAATCTAATCAAGAAAATTAATGAAAAATAAGAATAAAAAGATCGACATACAGACAATGAAATGAAAATAAAGATTAAGAAATTAATAGCATAGACGAGTAGTGACGACCCCTTCTCCTCACCTCCAGCGGATAAATTACTCAAGGAGAAGCAGTACTTCCGGGATGGACGTTTGGACAGGGACGGGCTGGTCGCGTTCATCAAGGAGGTGAAGAACTACCCCGGACTCACTGACGAGGATGCTGCTGTGTTGGCTGCCTCCAAGTAGGTTGAGTTTGTGAACTTTTTTTTTCTTTTCTTTTTATTTTTCTCTTGATTTGTTTGTCTTTCTGCCTTCTTTCTTTTTCACTTTTTGTTTGTCTGCCTTTCGGTGACTCTATTCTCTATTTCTATCTCAATTTCTCTTCTCTCTCTCCTCTCCTCTCATTTCCCCTCCTTTCCCCTCCTCTCCTCTCCCTTTCCCCTAATCTAACCAAAAAGTGACCACAGCCACACTCCGACGCATGCCTTCGCATCCTCTAACTTTTGCCCCAATGTTTTCAAGGCTCGTGGAATCCCAGAGCCACTCGAGGATGTGGTACCGCGTCGGTGCTGTGAGAAACATGACAGGTGGCCGGAAGACGCAGCCCCAACTCTCGACGAAGCTGAAGGAGGTAAGTTCGTTTGTCCTTTTTTCTCCCCGGTGTTTGTTTACTTTTTAGGGGTATCTTTTTTATTTTCTTGGGTCGTGAAGGGAGGTTAGATTGGGATAACATGATATATTTCGTTACATTTCTTATGTGAGACTAAGATACCTTTCCTTGGTTGTAGTTAATCATGAAGGCGGTGGCTTGCAGATATGTACATGGATTGCGTCGAATTCATATGAATATGAGCATATTGGCTTTTATGAGGCTGCTCAAGCTCCTAGTTTAGTAGAGAAATAGAAGAGAACCAGGGAGAAAGAGAGAGGAAATGGAAATAGATATTTAGGGAAGAGAGGTGAGATGAAAGGGGAAGGATATATATATATATATATATATATATATATATATATATATATAGATAGAGATAGAGATAGAGATAGAGATAGAGATAGAGATAGAGATAGAGATAGAGATAGAGATAGAGATAGAGATAGAGATAGAGATAGAGAGATAGAGATAGAGAGAGATAGAGATAGAGATAGAGAGAGATAGAGAGAGAGAGAGGAGATAGAGAGAGGAGATAGAGAGATAGAGAGAGATAGAGATAGCAGAGAGAGAGAGAAGAGAGAGAGAGAGAGAGAGAGAGAGAGAGAGAGAGAGGGGGGCAACGGAGACAGACGGGAAATGCCAAACACAGAGACAATGATAAGTGGGTTGGAAGGAAAGAGAACAGAAAAAATAGAGAGAGGAGTCATTAGAGAAAAGATTGAGAACTAGAGAGGAGTTAGAGAGAAAAAAACTGAGGAAAAAGTGGAAGTAACCAGAAATTAGTGTAAATATCAAGACAAAATTCATGTACAATCTACAAGTCCTCCCAATGCCCTGATATCTTGGGATCATAGAGGTACAACGCACGACAAACTAACAGGGGCTGATTAGTTAATGAGCTGCCTTTGTAACTTTCTTGGGGAGAGGGGAACTCGGGTAGTGTAGTTTGAAGCACTGGAGTGTAGCAGCAGCTTCAAAGGCTTTTGAGCATGAGTACTAACACATGCTAATATCTTTTCTTTTCTTCATTTGATAAGGGTGTTGCATTATGTAATTCAGTGTACGGTTACATATTGAAGTTTGGTGGGACTGACTAATGGTGTTTATATATATATATATATATATATATATATATATATATATATATATATATATATATATATATATATATATATATATATATATATGTACCTTAAAAATGTTAACTTTTATAACCCGCTTTTTCCTTTGGAGAGTAAAGAGGAAAACTACAAATGGTTACTGTGGTCACTGCCTCTCCTTATTACGTATGCATGTTAGTTGTCGACAATTATCCTGTGGTTGGTATATTGTTTTACCACAGGGAGTTACACAGCCTGAGGTGTTCAGGAGTGAAGAGATTATGAACCATTCAATTTTGATAAGGGAAATCACAATATAATCATGTCTCGAAAACCAACAACTTCAGAAATTGTTTTGCCTTTCTACTAAACTATGGATTTTTTTCAAGTATATTTAATAATTATCACTGCAATCTTTTATGCTTCCTGCTTTCTATCTTTAGAAGCATTAGTAGATTGACAAGCCATAAAGCCAGGAAAGCAGTCATGTTCCGTTACGCTAGTTTTTTTCTGCCCTTGTATTAATTAATTTTCAATTAATTCAGTTCTGAAGATTAATATAATCCTTTTATAGAAACTGTTTTATGCATATACATTACATAT